TCACGACGTTTCGATCGCAACACAAGCGGTCGTCCTCGAGCGGAAAAAAATTATCATCCAGCAGTGGAACTGCTGAAACCAGCGAGAGAGCTGTTACAACAAAGAGGCTATTTACGTGGCGAAGGACAAGCAGGCGGGGTCTCAGCTGGAAAGGAATTCCATCCCCGGACGCAACCACGTCAGTTGTGTTAATGGGGGACATTAGATTTGTTTCCCCCAAATCGTTCATCCCTAACGTGAAGCTGTTGTGGCCATCGAAGCGACTCGAAGGCTCTGCACGTGCACACCGTGGGCTCTGTGACATTCATTGGCACGTGGTGACGGCTGACTACTTTCTTGACGCGCGTGTGGGTGCAGTGGTGGAGGGGGTGTGGGTGGAGTGGTGTGGGTGGAGTGGTGGAGAGGGTGTGAGTGGAGTGTTGGAGGGGGTGTGGGTCGAGTGGGTGTGGGTGGAGTGGTGTAGGGGGTGTGGGTGGAGTGGTGGAGGGGGTCGAGTGGGTGTGGGTGGAGTGGTGTGGATGGAGTGGAGTGGTGGGGAGCGATAGTGTAGCGGTTAGCGCGCTGTCTGTGTCTCTGTGTGTCTGTGTGTCTGTGTCTCTGTCTGTCTCTGTGTCTCTCTGTGTGTCTGTGTGTGTACTGTGGGGAGCGGTGGTGTAGCGGTTCGCGCTACGCTGCGCTATGAACCTGGCGACCCGGGTTCGATTCCCGCTCACGGCCAACACCAGCGACGATGATCTGAACCTCCTCTAGGTCGACTCAGCCTCCTGCTGCGTTATGGTAAACATCGCCACTGGGGAGACAAAGGCGGCAGGGCGTGGTGCTGGCCACCCACCCCCTTCCGTAGCAACCTTCAATCCCGAGTTACGTCATCAACCTAAGTGGGGACAGCCAAGGAATATTTCATTTTTTATTACAAAGGAACGAGTGGAACACGTGGCCGTGAATAATATCCACGTAGCTCGAACGGCCGCGTGCACAGAGCGCCACTCTCCAGCCGTGGTTGCGCATTAAACACACGCAGAGCGTGCCCGCAACGTCGGCTGACATCGTGTTCACCCTTACATTATTCATCTCGCTTGGCATGTAACGCGAGCCGAGTGCGTTGTTACGTATTTTTTTTTGCGTGTCCGAGATACACAAACACGGCAGCGGAGGGGGGGGGGGGGCAGACGTGACGGGTGTAATTACCGCTCGTGCTTTTTCGGAGCGGTTCACGCCAACTAAAGTTGTCGTTTTGTTCAAGTCCCAGGATCACGGCATTTTTTTGGGAATGGGGGGGGGTAATGCGTGGAATCGCAGCAATTAATGTCATCGTGGTTAGGAATTTCACTCACACCTCTGGCTGTCGCCTTGAAGACGCTGGTTGTTGTTGCTGTCGTAGTAATTAACCGCCGAAACGTCGAATTGTGAATGTTGCAGTGGGTTTACTCTCCAACAGACAAGCCGGTGTGTGCTGCACGAGTAACGCGGTTATTCAAGTTACTGAAATGAACGTTCAAAACGTCGTACTCAATTATTAACGTTGTGGGGTTTTACTCGCCATCGCACCTATGTGCCGAAGTTAATCGTCACATTATGTTCACGTGACAAACCTTACTAATTGGCTGTCGGGTGGTGTCGGGTTCACCGACACATTTATATTTACGCGATCCAACCCCAAAACCTCTATTATGGACTTGCTTCCCATGGGGTTATGTACATCATCAGCCAGGGGCAATGAAACTTTCAAATATTGCTGGGCACGCAGCCTGCCATGCACCATTGTCGAATACGTTATGAACAAAATAATAACGTTTTACCCTTTCTGGCAATAGAACAGGGGGTGGTAAGATGGTCAAACACCAAATATAAACCTTTTGCAATGAATCAAGTAACTGCATTGACCACACACAGTGCTTGTGGTGAACATGCAAACAAACACGTGGCTCTGATAATATTTGGGCATTGTCTCTGAAACTGATTGGCTCACCACCAGTGTCAGACCAGAGAACGCCAATAGGCGACCAGTACAAGCACAATGCTACACGTGTCAGAGCGTTTATAGCTGGGGGGGGGGCAGCTACAGAATGGGACATTTGGCAGTATCAAAGTATGAAAAATAACAATAGATTCTACCCTGGCAATAAAACAGGTGTTAAGATGTTCAAACACCCAATATAAACACTTTGCAAGGAACATCTCGACACGTTTTATTTCCATAAAGGGGTAAAACCTATTAGAATGTTTTTATACTTTGCTACTGGCAAAAACATGGTCCATGTTGTAACTGAATACAACCTGGGAATAAACGCAGTTCAAAAGCAATAACTTCGATAGTAGGCAGAGTTTCACAAACAAAACTATACTCTTTGGTTCTTTCGGTTAAGTCACGTAGGTAGAAAAATAACAGATGGTGGGACAACCACAGCTAGTTGTCCCACATGATGACGATTGCTTGTGTTGCGATGTAAACGTCGTGATGTTATTTTTCTACCTACGTGACTTCACCGAAAGAACCAGCGAGTTCTGCAGTCACGAAAGCTTCGAATCAAGATTAAGCAAAAATATTCTAACCATAATTTCATATCTTTTGTTCAGATTTTTACGGCCGTTTACACCGATGGAATGATTATTTGTGCTTGTTTTCTAGCACGTCTTCGTGCAGACAAATGACGTCGCCCAATGCCACGCGACAATTTTGGCAGGAACATAAAACCCACGCCAGGAATCGACGCAGTTTTCCCACGCCTATCGCACGCTCTCATCGATCCAATAACCGATGTTTCAATGGCGAAATTTAATCGAGGGCCAGGCACTCCAATCAATCCCGGACTCATCCCTACAAAGGCCCAAGACCCTCCTACCCACCCGTAAGCAAAAAAAATCAGAGGACATCCATCGGCAAGTTCTAGATGACAAAATCGAGTGTGTTCTGCAAGTATGTTCGACGAAACCAGAAGAGAGCCGCTCTTTTGCACGACGGACACCCGCATCTTGCCAAACAGCACGTGTCCTACACCCCCCCCCCCACACACAACCTCGTGCGTTGCAAACCCAGTGGATGCAGACCGACCAACAAGAGAGCAGACACAGTCTCCACTTTAAAAGGTTTTGCTTGTGTTTTTATTAGTCCCGTTTCGATCCTCAATCCGTTCCGTTTCCCGCTCCCCTTCCCACTCCGCGGCCACTCCTCCCCGCCCGGCCGCATTTTGCATCGTGATGGTGAACGTACACAAACACGCCACAGACACGGCACAGACATGGCAAATCACGGGGGGGGGGGGGGGGTGATTGGCGTAGTGCCCACAGGAATGGGTGACCACCACCACATTCACACGCGCCCCGTGGAGCAACTCAAAAGAACCTGGGCCACTTGAAGCCACGCTGCTATCCTATCTTTCACAATAAAAAAAAGTATTGTAGCATTAGCTTTCAAGCCACCCCTTTTGCCAACGTACGCTGTATATATTTATATATAGATATAAAACCAGCCAATAATGTTCACACACCCACACCGAAAAAAATAATAAAACATCACCTTCCGCAACCACAATTAAGGACGTTTAGCAAGAGAGGAAAAAAATATCCAGCGCGCGCCGTTATGCCCAACCGGGTTCCCCGAGAGACGCGAAAAGCAGGTCCGCCGGTGTAGTGTTGGCTTTTTGTTGTTTGTTGCAGTTTTATTGCAGCACTGGCTGAGAAAACGTGGAGCAGCCAACAAGTCGGGCTGGCTGAGAGCGTGACGGTCGTGACAAGACGCGCAAAAAAATTATCACCTAAGCAGTCCCCCCCCTCCCTCTACCATCCACCCCCTCCCCCATAGAACGCATCTGGATCACCTTCACGTACTTTGCGTTAATTGCTTTTTTCAATAGAACCTCTCGACACCTCCAATTGTAATGTACTCGACATCTCAAATCCCAGGTGAAAAGTGAAAAAAAACCACACAAAAGGGATGGAAAGCCAAAATGAAAAATGGTACGTGGACGCGTGACCTGCGATTTCTGCTTAACAATCCGTTTAGATTCTTTTGTTGCTTCGCGATTGGTTAAAATGCCACCCCCAACCAACCCCACCTCGGGTCAAAAAGGATTTTAACAAAACGCAACACGCAATGTAAGACGACTTTACACGCAGCAACAGCAGCATCAATTTCAGCAGTAGGTGTGCGCGCTCAGTTTCACAATTTTTGCCCCGAGTTTCAATAAAACTCAAGTGGTCTCTGAGTGGATATGTAAAGACAAACAAACCCCAGATTCGTTTTTTTTTCCCACTCACGAAAAAGGCGCTAAACCTTAAGTCGGCCAGAACAAAGGACTCCGCTTGGAGCCCTCCTAAACAAAAATGCAGTCCACATGCGGAACATTGGTCCCGTGGTTCTCTTCTTCCAAATTTACAATCGCTCTAGCCCCAAAGCCCTCCCGAGAAAGGAGTAGGAGGGGAAGGGAGATAAGGCATTAAGAGAGTTGAGATTTTAAACCATCTCCCTGGGTTCAAAAAACGGGGGTTAAGCCTTCATCACGTGCCCTGAAGAAAATACAAGCACAACATTGATACAGCAAATGGTTTAATGCAATTAATGACTCGCAAACCTTTTGACCCCAATGTAAAAGAATGCATATGCCAAGGCAAGTTGGAGGAACTCATCGTCGTGCGAAGACAACTCGATGCCGTGTTGTGCTGCAAATTAATTTGTTTGTGGACATTTATTTTAATATACGATTGTAGGTTAGGCACGCACATACCAAAGTGTTTAAAAAAAAAAACACACAAACCACAGGATTCATTAGCCGATTCCACAAACCCGGTTTCTCTCCACCTCGGCAACCACGGCATAACTTTGGAAGATCTGAATAAGCCCACAGGATGCCGCGATTCTGCCACGGCTAGCTAAATTCCGATCCGCAAAAGCGAAATGGGGGGAGGCGGGGCGGGAACTTTGCCACTCAGCTCTTAAAAGTCACGGCGGGTAGGGGATGAGTCAAAGTACTGCACAAGAAAATTGGAGCAATACCACCAGGGTTTGAACTGTAATCGTTTATTGCATTTGATTTTGCATTGTTGCCTTGAAGTGATGCGAGCCTTGTCAATTTCTTTTGTTTTAAGTTTTTTTTCTAATTTGTTTTTTTTTACATTTTTTAGAACTTTTTTTCCACCCATTTTTTTTTTAGTAAAAACAACCCCCCCCCCCACCACCCCCACCAACCACCCCCCCCCCCCCCCCCCCCCCCCCAGAGGAAGCGCCACCGCCGCTGCTTTTAAAGAGAGACGCAAAACTGCCGCGCGCTGTGGCCAGACCCGTTCGAAATCGAGCAGCGGCAGGGGGCATTGGCGACGGTGCAGGTTGACGTGTAGCAAAATACAGCGGGAGTAAGGGGGGGGGGGGGGGCACACGGACAATGCACTTTTATCAAATTGTATTTATTTTCTCCTCGTGTTTGTATGTATATATATCGTGTGTATATAGTTTTTTTTTTCGTTTATCAATTGACCAGTTTGGGTTAGCGATACAAGTAGGCGATAAGGTTGCCATTTTTTTCATTTCATCCTTCCCCTCGGGGGGGGGCTTTGCCCTTAATACCCAGCTTTCCGCAAGTAATCCGCCACGTCGAATGCAGTCTTATTGAGAAGCCCTCCGTGAATGCCTTCCTTTCCTTCCACCATTACCAGAGCTAAGGGGGGGGGGGGGGCACACGTGGGGGGGGGGGGGGAGACAACGAATTAGAAAATATTAAAACGTGGAAAGATACCCGCACTCGAAAAAGTCTACGCGTCAAAAACACTCCACGCAACTCCAGTAACATCCAAATGATTCTTATAGATTGGAGAAAAAAACGACAACACAAAATGACAACATTCTTCCCCCCCCCCCCCCCCCCCATCTGGCACATCCGAGGCAGCACCCCCACCTGTACCACCCTCGTGGTACAGGTGGGGGTCCCACACTTAGCACATATAGATGCCACATTGTTTGAGACGAAAGCAACGCAACTTTGTTGCTTCTACTTTGCACCGGGAGTAACCAGGTTTACGGAGCCAATAACACCGCTCAAGGACCATGTGTTTATTCTCTGTGTTTAATACAGCACGGGCTATTCAAGCCCGAGGGGCTGAGAAAGGCCACCGCTTGGGAGTGGGGGCGTGGGTGGAGAAGGGATGTGGGTGGAGTGGTGGAGGGGGAATGGGTGGAGTGGTGGAGGGGGGCGTGGGTGAGAGTGGTGGTGTGGGTGGAGTGGAGGGGGTGTGGGTGGTGGTAGTCCCACATAGTAGGTCCCACTGCACGATGGGCGACAGCGGTTAGCACCCTGAAAACGATTGTTTAAGGGCGTTTTATACATTTAAATTATTATGACTCGTCTGCTGGCAGCCCTGCAGTGGAATTAAGCAAAAAGGTGTCTCTCCTCGGCAAATTAATACACAAACAAACATGTTAAAGAACAGGGAAGTTGTACATAGCCATGGATTGTGCGGCACTTCTGAACGTGCAGCCGTTACAGGAAGCATTTAACTGGCCGCAACGAGAAGCGAAAAAGAGGAACGCAAGTAACTCTCCGCCGTGGGTTGAAATTAATTCTGGTCGAGTGCTTTTCCTTTTTTTCCCCCCAAGTCAGATTAAATCCAATATTCACCCATCATGAATAAGGAAGGGGGGGGGAGGCAGGAGGCACTTTCGACCCACCAGCCTGTCAAGGAAAAGGCCACAGACTCCAGCGAGATCCAGAAAGAAATAAAACCTTGGCGTCTTAAACACTTCCGCAGCAAAGTCCCCAACCAAGTGCAAAAGGGCGTGGAACCTGGCCACAAATGATAGTTCAACGAAGCGGCTCACCACGTGGAAAAGCATGGGCACGGGCAATGCCGGACGAGGAAATGTGCTGTTTTCCGGACTATAAGACGCTCCTCTCCGGGGGGGGGGGGGGGGGGGGGGGAAGAGAGGTGCACCCCAAACTTTGGTGGGTTGTAATTTTTCCATGAAAAACATTAAGTGGTGTGGAAGCGGGGGTGCAAATATATAAACTGACAAAAGTACCACTATGAACGCTGGAGAAAATAAGTGCGTCCTGTCAAAGCGGAAAATACGTTCCAAGCCGAAGCGGATGTAAGCACATGACGGCAATAAATGTGTTCGGTGCACCCTGAGCCAGTAAAATGTATTCAACTATCTTATCACATGTAATGGTGGTGGCCAAAGAGATAAAGACCACAGGAGAAGGGCCAACCCCCCCCCCCCCTCCCAACGTTTTATTTAAAATAGTGGGGTTGGGTGGAGAGTGCATCTTATGATCCAGAGAATATAGCAATTCAGAATATTCATACTAGAGTAATCCGATGAGCTATAAAGCTCTTTCACAGATGTCCTGCAGACAAACCCCCCCCCCCCCCCCACCCTTTTTAAGCGTCGCCACACTGCGACCGACACCAAAGCGAGAAACGCAACTTACTTTGCAAGGACTTGGCGATGGCGATGTTAAAGGTCGTACTACTGTGCCCGTCGGCCTTGGTGCGCAAGTCCATGGTGTGCTCATCTTCTATGTCAAGGCGGTCGCGGATGACGGAGCACTTCCGCCCGGCCAACGTTATGCCGTTTGTAAGCAACCCATCACGGTTTGGCGCAGACAGCAGGGCCACTTCTGCAGGCTGCCGCCAGAGAGAGAGAGGGGGGGGAAGAGAAACCACAGCCGCCACCACTCGTCAAAAGTCCTGGCCCAAGGCCTACACGCACACGGTGGCAGTCGAAAGGGGGGCGGGGGGAGATTCATTGGACCGAAGAGTGCATGTTTGCTGGTGGTTAAGGGCAGACCGGTGGTTTTTGATATCACTTTTGCCAACCGACCTTGGACGTGGATGGGAATCGCAACTTGGGGTTTCTTCGCTGGGTTTAAGAGAGCAGTGCGGCCGACGCGTGCTCTCTCTCTCACACACCTGACCCCGCGGGGTTTTCACACCGGTCGTACAGTACATTTTTACGGCCCAAGAAACGCCTTGTGGGAGATTAAATTAAAGGCTTTGAACTCATGAGAACTGCCGCATTAAAAAATGGTGTCCCATCGCCACATTGGGGTAAATCACAAGCGAGACACACGAGCGGCTTGACTTATTTCGCAACAATGTTGAACGTTCATTCGAATTGCATTGCACACATTCAACCTGCAACTAGTGAATTCTTTACAACTACTTTTTGCGTCGAGTTTGTCGTCGTCGTCCCCACCCCCACCACTTCGGGCGCGCCACCGATTAGCACGGTCGGCTACGTATTGTGCGCGACACAAGTTCAACATACATACGTAGTTCTATGCCTTGCGATCTCGCGGTAGGAAACCGAAATTTCTACACGCGGCTCCCGCACACACGAGACCGATCTTCGTCGCTAGATCTTTCTCCGAGGCATGTCCCCTCTCTCCTCTTGAGTTTCCACTCGTGGGCCACCCCCACAGCTATACCAGCCAACAACTCTTGCTTTTGTTATTTGCACGCAAGCCGTATTAAGAGCCCATGCATAAATGCATACTTATGCCGCTAAAACGTGTTTCTACAAAACTTCAGCAACATTTTTTTTACCAGCAATGGGGGGGGGGGGGGGGGGGGGGGGGGGGAATAACTTCAGACACTTAATTAACATCACCCGTTTCACACCACCCAGGCATCCTGGGGAGGTTTCAACCGTTCAACTAAATGAACGCACAAATTCATAAACACGTGCACACGTATTTTTCCGGGCAGTATTAACTTTTGTGAACAAAAATTTCGGCGACGGAAATTTCAAAATTAACTCGTCCGAACAAAGACAGAGACCAATATACTTTGGTAATGTTACTGGAGATAGTAGTGCACCGGCGATTGCAAATGGCAATTTATGTATTTAAAATGACTGAGTTCAGCATTTGGCCGAGCTGATAATATTGGAGGGAGGGGGGGTGTGGTGGAATAACTCACCAACATTTAATAAGCGAGGGCGGAAAAAAGCCGGATACCGCTTTAGCCGCCTAAGAATGACCAAATTCAAACCGCAGAGTAAGAGTCGAGCTGCCAATCTTCGATAAAACAAAATGAGGTAACGCTGCCTTGCAAGCGAGGCCACGGCGGTTCACAAACTCTTCTTTGAATCGAAGCATCAGTAAAAGGCAGTCTCAAAGTGAAATGTATTGTTTCAAACGAAGTCGAGGGCAAGAGAGTGGTGGAGGAGGGGGGGGGCTAAATAAATTGCACGAGTTTTTTTTTACTTTCCAGAAGAAATTGCACTTTGCTTTCTGCAGATCGTCATCCGGATGCTTTTTGGCAAAGTCGACCCTTGTAAGCCATACTGACTATTAAATTCACACTACTAGTTTATAATTAACAAGCCACACGTAAAATAACGACATTTTTTCGTAAAACGTGCACAAGGCACGAATTAAAAGACAAGCTTGGTTTCAATTTATAATTTCGGCTAGCTGCCCAAACCTCCATTTTTATATGAACTCCTACCTTGGATTGTCTGAAATTAGATATGCCCTCTTTGGCGGTGTTGAAACCCAACTTGCATTCCACCACTGCCAGTTTCAGATATCTCTGGATGTCCAAAAATGTCTTGCTCCCGACAAAATTTCAAAGCATAATAAATTTTCAACTTCTTCGCAAATTCACTGGCCAGTCACTGCATTCATGAAGCTCGAAGCTTCACAGGCTATATTGCTATTCTGACGTCCGGGAATCTGTCCCGATGGGTCAGACTTATGTTTGAAACTAAACCGTCGTTTTCAAACACTAAATTTGGTAGTGAGAATCGTTTTTTAACTTAACCGGGCGAGCGAGCCGAATCGGTGCATCGTTAAAATTTATACTGTTTTTTTTGCGGCTGTATCGGATAATAATCGATAGCCCTTTGGGACACATTGTCAGATCATTCATACGGCCCGACCCCAAAAAATCAATTGCAAATCATCGGTTGTTTAAAAACCCTAATCGGTATGTTGTGTATAAAGTAAAAGGCGCAGGCCCTGCAACTTTCTTGCTAACACACCGCTACGAACGGAAGGGCCTCGGCTCAAGCAAACTGCAAGAGCCGCTCGAGATGGTATTTTGCAGGGGGGGGGGGGGAGGCACCCTTCCAACGCATTTGGAGGTGACAGGAACCCCAGACTTGACCTCACCACACGCGACCCCCCGCCTATCGACTGCGGTGTACAATAGCCGTGTTGCTACGCTGCTGGTTGGACGGTGGCAAGGGAATTTGGTTTGTGACCGGATTTCCCGCCGCTCGCTATGCAGCACACCGTTTGACGCCCTCCTCTCTTCCGCCACATTTCTTTATCTCCTCGGCCCCTTTCCTCTTCATTCAAACTATTTTCTATCACCAGGTGAGGCCCACAGAGCTATGGAGCTCTTTTCCACAAGCAACATGGCCAATCACAAACGATCGTCCAACAAAGCGGCTTGTGGAAATTTACGTCTTATGGAAATGTATCGTCTTAATAATGCGTGTCGATTCTAAACGTGGAGGGGAAAAACCAGAAACATCTTGGGTATACGTTTTCAAAAGACACGCCCTGTGTATCCACGACCAGCTATTTTGGGGTAGTCAAATCTCACACGGAACCCCATATAAATAATATCAACGGAATCCTCGTTTGTTCCAAAACCGCAAAAAACCCCTAAAATTAAGAGCTGGCCTACTTATTTTCAAGTGGCGCACGGACAGCAGACAGTTTTACTGGCGACCTCCGCACTTGCCGGTGCAGTGCTAACCATTATTGCGCCACGGTAGTAGCCGCACTCCCCCCCCCCCAACCACAACACACCAACACCCACCCCTCGGCAAAAAAAAACTGTGGCAGCTCGACAAAAAAAAAGGTGCGGCCAAGACACCACCCCACCCCCAACTTCGTCGGCGCGTCGCCGAGAGCGCCTGGGCGAGGCATAATCTTCCACCATCTCCCGCTCAAACTACCCCCCCCCCCCCCCCATTCGCTGTAACCGCTAATACTTAACGCTATAAAAAAGCCACTCGCACAACAGCTGCAAAGCACAGCAAGGCACGGAGGTGGAGGGCAGAAAGAAGAGTGGAGGGTCCAAAGACTTGTAACCGTGGGGCGGCGAGCCACGGGCAATCAGAGGCGCAGTAAAAAAGAAACGCGGGCGGCAACGGATTTGCGTGTCGGGGGGGCAAGCGGCCGTGCCGTTTCACGACGCTCGCACCGTCAGGGGGGGGGGGGGGGACAGAGACCCCCCCCACTTATTTGGAATCGTGGCGGGGTCCGTCGAGCTCGCAAAGGGAATCAATGTTGTGGTGAGGTTGGAGGTACTGGAATCGCCAACATTCGGAACGAGCACGTTTCATGCTCCATTGGCCGTCTCCGAATGCGGCCTAGGCAACGGCCCACGCCACGAACGGCCGAGACTGGCGTGGGGTGGCGTACCCAGAGGCGCCGTGGCCTACGACGGGGAGGCAATTTTATGGGGGCAGGAGACAAAAAACGTTAACTCGTCGATTACAACTCTCTAACTAAACGACGAGGTTAAGTTGCATTTCATCTTGAAGCGCCCTGCGCGAGCCAAGCAGCTCTTGAATCAGGTTTCAAACCCGATTCAGGAATCGGTTCCGGTCGTACAACGGTGAACCCGTCACGGACACCGAAATTCGGTTGCGCCTTGCGGAAAAAAATTTCCGTTCGCTCGATTAACCAAAAAAATTAAGTCAAGTCACCCGCATTCACGGCCTCTGGTCGAATTTGCGGCCGCGACGACCGGAAAATCGACCCAAATTTTTTTTTTCATCACCATCCGGTCAGCTCATAAAAAGGAACGAGCCGGCCGCAGCCATCAGCTCAAGGGCCTCCGGGGTGCCTGCAACTTCGTGGACTTTGCAGGCCAGAGGCTGCGTGTGCGTGGTGGTGGTGGTGGTGGTTGGGTGGTTGACTTCTCTTCTCGTGCGTGGGCCACGCCACCACGCCTGTGCGCCGTCGCTGCTCTCTCGCTCTGGGTGGGGCCCACTCGGTAGTCAAACATGGAGGGGGAGGGAGGGGGATGAGGAGGGGAAGGGAGGGGGATGAGGAGGGGAGGGGGAGCAGAGCCGCGCCCTGACACATGGCAGCACCAGATCGCGAACAGTCGATAGCGGAAATGGCTGAAGAATGGGACAACTTGTGCGTTTCTTCTCTTTTGCAAAAGCTGCACCCCCCCCCCCCCCCAACACACAAATTATGCAGGTAGTTGTGCGCTTCCTCGTCAGTGACGATGCCATGTGAAGAAAACAAATAACTCGTTTGTAGCTCATCGGATTCCTCCAGTAGAAATATTCAGGTGGCGATTTTGTACCGACAAGCGTCTGCTGATGTGTTATCGACAAACGGGGGTTTTTACCCCTCCACTTCCGACCCGACACGCTACAGCAAAACTGGCCATCACCCACGCTCATAAATAGGCAAATATAGACCGCCCCTCCTCCCCCCTTTACCACACCGGGCTTAACATGCTTTAAACACAACGCAAGAGTTGTTGACGATGCCTTTTTCAAATGACACCCCCGCAGCCTACCTGCAGCAACATCCTGCATCAGCAGTCATGACTCAACATCAAGTCTAGCATAGATGCCCCCCCCCGCACCCCCACACACACTGCATGTAAACTATTTTTTTATTTTACCAGGTCAAAAAAGCCAC